TAAAAAAAAAAAAAAAAAAGACAGGAATCCTTCATCATCTTCATGTCCTTTCCATGGTTTGGAGTTTTTCTCCTCATCCCCTTGGCTTGCCTACATTGAGGCCCATTTGGGGGGATTTTTCTAATGGTTTATGTACAAGTCTGTGAGGTTTTTTTGCTGGAGGCATTGGTTAGGAGCTCTTGAGGCTTGCAGTGGCAGTTGCAGACTTGGATATTTTCTCCAAGATCCTAAAAATAATTAAATATTAAATAAAAACGGCCACATGGAACAGGGCCCATGTTCCACTGCCAGTAGTTCTTCCTTCAGAAAAGTGTTTTCTTCTCCTACATCTTGTTTTCTTTCTCAGGTTGGAGCCTTGACAAACATCTCCTTCAAGTTTAATGGTGCATATGAAGTTCTGGCTTTGGGGAGGCATGATTGCAAAGTTTTTAGTTTAAACGTCTTCAGAATAATTTCAGTAATGTGATTCAGGCTTAGAGAAAGATCTCTCTCACGTTTTGCGTGATGGTTTTTCCCAGGGGTTCTGGCCATTTCTGTTCATTATTTTCACCTTTTAAAGTTTCCCTGCTGTTGTGTAGTATGGATTGCATTTTTCATTTTATGTTAACTCCAGTTATTAAATAATCAAGATGTGGTGCTCCAAAGAGAGCCTTGTTTTGCAGATGCAACTGAAATGGTTCTGTGTTGGCCTGTGGGAGCTGGGCTCGTTGGGATGAAGTAGAATCTAACATAAAATTGGAAATGGCTTTGACATCATTAAGATGATGACTCCATTGAGCAGCTTTTCTTCAGCGTCCAAAGGAGGAGTCCAAGTTTTCCGCATTTCACTAGCAGTTCTGTGTTTTGAAGATTCTTTGGAATAGAAAGAAGGAACTATACTGGTCAAATTCAGTAAAGGGTAGACTAGTCTTCCTAAAATCACCACTTTCCAACTTAATAATAAATAATAACTCCCTCTGTTGAATCAGGTTTTAGCTCTTTGCCCTGACATTCATATCTGTCTACATTCCACGCCTGAGTCATCGTATGAACACATAATTCCAGCTACTTACCTGAGGTCACTGTCTGCTGTAGTAGAGCAACTTACCTGCAGCCTCTTGCTGGATGAATCACAAGCTTTGTGTTTCCTCTCTTTGCTCATGGTCTTTGCCAAAACCCAGCAGTCTTTTCTCCCTGCTTTTCAAAGGCCAGCTTCAGTTTCATTCTTCCCAGAAGCCTCTGATTGAATGTCTTCTTCTTCTTATCATCTGTTAAATTCTGACAGTTAATTATACTCACTATCACATTGTCCTCTAAGGCTTATTTTCTCAAATAGATTAAAACTTCTTGAAAATACATTGATTTTAATATTTTTCCATTGTCTCACATAGGACTCATCCCATAGTTTCAAAAATACTAATGGGACTGAAGAGATTCAGTATTCCAGGCAAACCCCCTTGCTTTTGAGCTTCTAAATGAGTTCTTAGTTCTCCCAATGGCTTGATAATATTCCAAGGTGATAATTCAGGGTTCTTTCTTTATTGTCACTTAAATCACTGAGTACCAAAAAAATTGTGAGAAAATGAAATGATTTCCTTTGTGAAAGAAAAGTCACCCCGCCCCCCCCGCAAGATTTTCTCTTTTTTTTCCAAGGTAAGTCTAATAAGTCTATGACTTTAGTGAACCAACCTAAAAAGTAAATGCTTTAAATGAAATTTGATAGTAAATAGCATAAAGTGAAGTGAGTCTCAGCATTGGGGCAATTTTCAAAGATCACATTTTAAGGAGCAACAGAATTGCAATGGCTCAGTGCATGTAAATGGGAATGTTTCCATAGAGCCAATTTAAGCAGCTTTAGTAATTGGAAAGGAAGAATTATTTTTCATTCAGTCTCTTGTCTAATTGAACAGTAAATTTTAAAAATTAAGTCAAACACAGGTGAAACTATTTTAGAGTTGATTCTCTTTTTTAAAAAAGTGGGAAAACATTTGCATCTCACCAATAAGTGGTTAGCTTTCTTCTCTTTGAAGACTTCAAGATGGAAGAAATTCCAGAGACTCAAGGCTTAACTGAATGCATTTTCATATTAATATCCCACAGACCCTCCCAAACCCACTCTTGTTCCAAAATAACCTGGAGGAGGCTCAGCTCAATGTTTGTGGGATCCACTCAAAAAATTCAAAACCTTGTGTCAGCTTCAGAAATTACCCCCCAAGAGGATGAGAGGGAGAGCGCCTTTCATTCTGATAATTACCAATAATCAATCTAGTGTTTATTACACAATCATAAGCCTTTCCCCGAAAAGGTGCAAAAGGGGAGACAAAAATGGGAGACACGTTTCTCACTGTCAAGGTTCAAAATCTGGTTACAGGACCAAGTATTTCAACATGAAACAAGTAGAAAAACACATCACGGCAACATGAATGCTGAGACCAGGAAGCAGAAAGCCATCAAGAGAAGCTGACACCTTTAAGAGCCAGGGCCTTTCCCCTTGCTGCTGGGATGATACCACAAGTCTCTCCCATCTATTAAGGCACCTCTGCTCCTTCTCACCTCTCTGTGTTCAAGGTAGAAGATGGTGCTTCACAGCTCCCAAGTTTCTAAGTCTCCCTGGTTAAAGCTCTAACTCTAGATCGAAGTTCTGAACCCTAAGTCCAAACTCGTGGGAGGAGAAATCTGGTTGGCCTTTCTTGGGCTGGCTGTCCACTTCAATCTAATTAGATCTAGCTAGATCTAATTAGCTAAGGGATGAGGGTGGGAGTTACACCATACAAATGTGTAATACCTGACAACTTAACCTAAAGAAGTACAGGTCTGGAAGTAATGTTAGTAGTTTACGTTTTTAAGAGTGGTTTGCCCTTGGTCTTGTTAAAAAGGAGACAGCAGACCCAGAATGGAGTTACTTGTGCTAAGCCCACATCACCAAACTGAAACTAATACCTAACCTAACTGCAGTTTCAACCTTCTCCAGGAATGTAATTTTAACTGGTCAGTCTGGAATTTCCTGGTCAGCACCAGTGAGGTAATCCCCTAATAAACCCCCTTTGTCCCCCAAAGGAGATCCTTTTTTGTCCCCCAAAATAATCCTTTTTTTTCCCACTTATGATTTTCTTGTGCCATCCCCCTCTGCCTTTAAAAACCTTTCCTTTTCTGGGGCACCTGGATGGCTCAGTCGGTTAAGTGTCCGACTCTTCGTGGGATCCATTGCAACTCAGGCCATGATCTCCCAGTTCATGAGGTAGAGCCCCACACCAGGCTCTGCACTGATGGCACAGAGTCTGCTTGGGATTCTCCTTCTCTCTCTACCTCTCCCCCCCAACTCTCAAAATCAGTAAACTTAAAAAATAAAAATAAAAAAATAGTAAATAAAAACCTTTCCTTTTCTGTAGCTCTTCGGGGCTCCTTTCTATTTGCTAAATAGGATGCTGCCTGATTCATCAATCATTCAATAAAGCCATTTAGATCTTTAAAATTTACTCTGCTGAATTTTTGTTATTTAACAGTCTGATCTCCCAGGGTCAGAACATCTGGACCCAAATTAATTTTCATGGTTTACTTAATATTTTAAAAGCATATTTTGAAAATCAGTAATTAAACCTTCATGCTTTCTGAATTTTTTCTCTGACCTGTCCATGAACTTGTCTAAACTAAAATTCATTTAGATTTTTTAAAGTGGTGGTATTAATTAGGATCTAAGGCATGGAGCAGCTGCGAGAAGAAGTATTGGAATGGACTGTGAAGACAGTGTGTGGGGGGAGGGGGGTGGGGGAAGGCAGAAGAGAGAAAGTTACTATATATTTAGAGGTAAAGAAATAGAATTATACTGTCCCATAGATGTTTTGGGATTCTACTCTCCATATAGGTTCTCACCTCAGCCACTAGGGTCAAAGGGCTAGGAGCTAATCCAAATAAATGATTAGACTCCCCTTCCCCCATTTAGAGACTGGTTATATGCTGAGGCAGAGGTAGCTGATGGTATAGTAATATTTGAGTTAATTTATGTGGTTTGCTATGTGTTTAGAGCCTAGAAGTACCAGTTCTCACATTTACATACCTTTTAAAATGGTCTCCAGAATATTGAGGCATTTGTATCATTTGATCTGAGACCAGTTGGATTGATTATGGGTAATTTGACAATTCAAAACATTAGCCACTGGTCCAGAGGAGAGAACAAATAGGGCACTTTGAAAGTTTTAAGAAGGATGTGTCATGTTTTACAATAGAGATTTGGGGTTTTCAAAATCTGAAATTGCAAGATTACGAAATGACACCAGCAGGGGGTTTAATGCTCCTGAGTGTTTCAGTTATTCAACTTGAAAAACAAAAATTTAAACCCTTACTTTTAACATTTGAAATTCCTAAGAGTGTAATTTAAAATAAATTCATTGAACAGCTATTTATTGAGCACCTACTGCATTTTTTTAGGTGGCTATGGAAACGGAGACTTTTTTTTTTTAAATCCCAAGAACTACAATTTGGCAAATATTTGAACATTTGTTCTTGTAAACCATCTGGCAATACAGCTAAGAAATAATAGTTCTAATGGTTAATAGATCCAAAATTGTATACTGTTCTTTTATTACATCAACTTATCTCTATATCTGAATCTTCCTGTACTTTATGTTTATTAAGAAATCAGCTACATTCAATTTTAAAATCTCACTTATTTTCTTTGGCATTTTTAAGGAGCGACGCAAATTTGGTCCCTTAGGATGGAATATTCCCTATGAATTCAATTCTGCTGATTTTACAGCCAGTGTCCAGTTTATTCAGAATCACCTTGATGAATGTGATATTAAAAAGGTGAGTGAAATTGCTTCCCCCCCCCCCATTTTTATTGCTGTCCTTAAACCAAGTTTCCACAGACATTTTCAGTGTATAATATACAGGGAACCTGCCAAGGGTTTCCCCACCTCCCCGAATCAGCCATTTATTGGTCCAGCCATTTCCACTCACACCCCTACTGCCCATAGGGGTGCATTTGGATCCCCATCTCATGCTTATGTCCCTGCCCAACTCCTCTCTCTCCAGCGCACATACACGGCAGAGACAGACCACGAATGAAGAAACTTCACAACCTTCCTCATGTCACACCCAAGTGCCACAGTGCACTCCAAGACAATGTCCATCTTAAGTCAGACTTTTCTTCCAGCATTTCACAGATGCCTCCTCAGAGGTGAAAGAAAATGTTATCTCTCAGCCCACGTGAAAGTTCTTTCTCACCTTTAGTCACATCTTTTTTTTTTTTTTTAATTTTTTTTTTTTCAACGTTTATTTTTGGGACAGAGAGAGACAGAGCATGAACGGGGGAGGGGCAGAGAGAGAGGGAGACACAGAATCGGAAACAGGCTCCAGGCTCTGAGCCATCAGCCCAGAGCCCGACGCGGGGCCCGAACTCACGGACCGCGAGATCGTGACCTGGCTGAAGTCGGACGCTTAACCGACTGCACCACCCAGGCGCCCCTAGTCACATCTTAACACATGCTTAAACTTATGGAGATACATAGCAATAATTTCTGGTAACGGTCGCTGATCATTGTACAGCACTTGACAGCTCTCAGTGCTCGTGCATTGAGGATCTCATTTGTGTCTTCACAACTCTGTGAGGGAGGTACAGAAGGCATTACTATTATCCTCGTTTTCCTGATGAGGTAATAGGAGAGAAGGAGGGACTTCCAAAAGGTCACAGAGGTAAGAACACAAACCCAGTTGTCCTTTCACATGTGCTTCCACATCTGTTTTTTCCATGATCTTGAGCAAGTTTATGAGCCTCCCAGAGCCTGTTTCCTCATCTACAGAATGGTCATGGTCTCTGTGAGGAATAAATGAGTTAGCATTTGTGAAAGCACAGTATATTGGGACACAGTAAGTACTCAATAAACACCAGTGTTCTGCTGTCTCCCCCTCTCTTCTTTCTCATAGTGGATCTTGAAGTTAATTATAGATACTGTAGTGTCAGTATGGTGACGGTAAGCCATGATGAATTTTTACCTGGGCCGCTGGAGGATCTAGAATCAAACCATCAGTTTTCCTTGAAATTACAAAGGCATATTAAATCGAGTATGACAACTTGATGAAAAATTACATCATATGGGTTCATATTCTGTTATTATTTATCATTTGATATATACAAATAATAGTTAACCTTGAAATAGTTGCTTTGAAAGGCAGTGGAGCTGATGAATCAAAGTTTAACCAAAAGAAAGTCAATTAAAAAATAAAGCATCCTTACTTTTCTTACCCCAAATGTATTAAGTAAAAAATAAAAGAAAATTTAAAAAAAACTATTAATATCTGCAATATATTGCTAGGATAAGATTCTATGGCAATTAATAAATACTTTGATTTAGTTATAGCTCACAGAATGAGACAGCAAAGAATTGCGTTGTAGAAAAATGCTGTGAGTGAATAATCTTTTAGTTGTTCTCATACTGATTCAGAAAATATATTACTAAGAAAGTGTATTAAACAGTTGACTACTTGTTTTTTTTCCCTTTCTTCACTAAACATGACTTTTTTTTTTAACAGCTTGGCATTACTATAATGAGTATTATAGACGATTACATCCACAGAATGAAAAATAGTCTTCCCCCACCCCCATTTTAAATAATCAATGAGTAATAAATTCACTGATATTTAGTATTATAGATTTTTCTTTGGTGACTGAACCCTGGCAGTTTCAGTCATGTGATAGCAAAAGAGTTACTAATAGAGTCATTTTAAATGCAATCTAGTTAGTGCTTTCTTTTTGAGACCTTTCCTCCAGGGAAGACCTGAAATATTTAGAATTATCTGTTTGGATTGACAATTAACAATCTTTTTATTTTTAATAAAGGGTGTTTCATGGAGTACGGTTCGGTACATGATTGGAGAAGTACAATATGGAGGCAGAGTGACAGATGACTTTGATAAACGTCTACTTAATTGCTTTGCTAGAGTAAGTCAATTTACAGAAAAAGCATGGAGACACATTTCATTGCATTTTCCTTTTAAACAGGAATATTTGTTTGTTCATAATCACTGAGCCAAACTTAAGGGGAAAAAAAAATATAGAGCAGAGCCGCTGAAAAGAATCAGCTAACAAAGCCAAAACCAAAACCAAAACCAAAGCCAAAGCCAAAGCCACAGCCAAACCAACCAGCAATCTACTTGTGGTCCTTGTGGTCCAAAGTAGAATAAGGATCAGCTGTCAATAGTCTGTGACTCTTCTCCTGAGTTGCACATTTTCAGGGTCTCTCCCCTCCTTCACATGACAGTTGATTGACTGCTTCCTCTGACTATGAGTCTCATGAAGATTTCAAGCCCCGAAATAAGTGACTGGAGAATTAACTATAATTTGGGTGTTCTCATCTTTTTCATTAGGACAGACAACTGAAAAGTGATAGAGTGCTCATTTTTTCCTCTGTTCCCAGTAAAATCCACATACATCACATTGGTAAACATTTTCTGGAGAAAATTATTCCTTAGCAATTACAGCTTTCACACCAGTGATAAATAGTGTATATGTATATATACATACACACACATCAGGCTCAAACTCTTCTTAAAACTTTTACATGCTAAAGAAGCAATATATATTACATAAGTGGGAAAAATCAGATATATGAGTATTTTATGGTTATTTGAATTCTTTGTATTAGGATCTATATTGGTAATTCTCTGTTTCAATGATCTTTCCCCCCTTAACAAAAACAACAAAGCATAAACTTTGAGAGTATTTTGGTAAGCTGGAGGTTGGCCAGGAATCTGATTTTTCTTTCAACCCTTATTTATTTCTGCAAGTTTTCCTTGAAGCTGTATGTGGAGAAAGATGGATGATGATAAATGTCGGCAAGGATGTGTGGAGGCAGGAGCCTGGCTGCTGGAGATTAAAATCAGTACAGACCTCCTGGAAAGCAGTTGGGCAAAACTTACTGAAATTAAGTATCCTAGATAGACACATCGCAGGACATTTCTAGAAAAAGTCCACAAGTGGACATGTATAATAATGTTTACGGCAATATTGTGTATGGAGTTGAAAGTGACCATCATAGGTTGGCTTCTCTGGACACAGACTGAGATGGAGATCTGCTTGTGCGCCCCCCTCCCTGAGGGCATGACCTTGGTTGAGGCAGCTGCCTTCTGCCAGGACAATTTCTGGGGAGGGACAGTGTGGTGAGAGCCCTTAGTAGCCAATACTCCAGACAGCTGTGGGATTGAGTGCCTGGGCCTTAGAGAAGAAACTGGTGGTACATCACAACATCCACTACAGACGCCTAAGAATCCTAAGAAGTAGTGGATGAGCACAGTGGAATACTACTGCTCACCCTTCTAGGGTGCAATCTGGTGACACTTGGTCATGTCAAGTGTGTGATACCTTCTGAACCATAAGCCCACTCCTGAGTATATATCCCAGAGAAATTTGCAAACAGGTCCATGGACATGTACAAAGATATTGCTCATAGCATTGTTGGCAGTAGTAGGAGGTTGAAAGCAACCTGGGAGTCTGTCCTGGGGGAATAGATGAGCTAAATATTGTAGACACTTATCATGGAACACAATGCAGCACTTGGAAGAAATGATCCATATAGTATCATGCATAGATCTTAAAAACTTAGTGCTGAGTGCACAGCTTAAAAAAAAATAAAATGAGATCTAGAAAGCAATACATGTATATTTCACAAGGACATAGATCAAGCACATTTAAATAGATGCCCTCAGAGGCAAGGAGACTGGGAGTGGAGATCAGGGATGAATGGGGAAAAACTAACATAAAGGGGGCCGAGACTCATAAGAAAAATAAAGGAATATAGTAACTCACCTCTATATCTGAGGTTTAAAGGAAAAAAAAAAGATGTCTTTGAAAGTATACTTTGTGTTAGAATATTGTAAAAGTACCTAAAATTGGAGGTTTAGCACTGGAGACTCTGAGAAGTGGTTAGATTCTGCATATACATTGCATTGCATTGTACAGATAGTGCCAGCAGAATGCTGATGATAAGGGAAGAGGGGTCAAGGGCCACTCTTGTTTTGACCTAAATAACCGATTAGAGAATAAGACCATTTACAGAGGAGAAGGGCTGCAGATGGAATGAGTTTTATTGGCTGGGGCTGGAAATTAGTTCTGCTATGATCATGTAACTTTTGAGATGTCCACAAGACACCCAATTGGAGTTGTCCACGACTGTAAGTTCCCCAAAGGCTTTGCCTCATTACATCACTGTCAGATTCCCAGCACCTAGTGCAGAACCTAGAACATATTAGGGGCCTCAATAAATATTTGTTGATTAAGAGAATGAAGAAGGGTAAACATGGCAGTTGGATTTACAGGTCTGGAGCTCAAGAGAGAGGTCAGGGCTGGAGAAAAAGAGTTGAAATTTGTCAGCATATAAAACAGCCTTTGAGGTCCAGATAATAGATGAGAGCATCATCTAAGAAGAAAGTGTAGAGAAAGAAAACAACAGAAAACAAGCTAAGGACAGGGTCCTGAGTACTTTAAAGTATCAGGAAAGAAGAAATGGTCAACTGAGAAGGCTCAAGGAAGATAAGGAAAGATATTTTACCTGTACTTAGTATTCGCTTGATAAACCTTTGAAAAATGCAACTACTTAAAAAATATGCAATGTACAGAAAAATTTATAAAATATAAACATACAGCTTAATAACTCTCTTTAAATAGACATAGAACATTTCCAGTTCCCCCAAAGACTCACACATGCCCCCTTCTTCTGCACAACTCAAGATACCCACAACAATTTCATCCTCACTAAACTTTCACCATCTGAGTAAGTACTGCTTATTAATGTAGTTCAGTTTTGCCCGTTTTTGAACTGCATATAAACGGAACCATGCAGTATGTTGTCATTTTGGTGTTCTGGCTTCCTGTTCTCAATATGGCATTTTGAGATCCATCCATGTTGTGTGTAGCAGTAGTTTACTTGTTTCCTTTACTGTGTTGGGATTGCATTGTATTATATTGGTGGAAATGAGGATCATTTCCATTTGTAGCTATTACAAATAATGCTTCTGGGGACATTCTCACACAAGGTTCTTGGAGCACACGATTATGCCTTTCTATTAGGAGTGGAATTGCTAGGTTATAGAGTTTATGTACTTTCCATCTTAGTCGGTCACATTAATCTGGTTTCCAAAGTGTTTTCCAAAAATACATCCCACAGAAGAACGAGATACCCCATTTCACCACATCCTCACCAACACTGGGCATCATTAACCATTCTGGCTAAATGGCTTAAATGTTAGCCATTCTGGTGGGTGTATACTGATATCTCACTTTGGTTTTAATTTTTTTAAATTTTTTAATGTTTGTTTACTTTTGAGAGACAGAGAGAGATAGAGTGTGAGTGGGGGAGGGGCA